CTCGACTACAACCTTTTGGGCAGCCTTTGGCTGGTCAATGCACTTCTCTGAGACCAAGTCTCCAAATCCATATGTTGTGGGTGATACCTGCCCTACCTCGGTAACCCCGCTATTATAAAGGGAAAGGGTGCAAGTGAATACAGCACTATTATAGATATAAGGTTCTCAAAGATATGAAATCCTGACCTGACTCTAAATCCAAAACAGGCAGGGAAGCTGGCCCATTCTCAAAGACCACGTCCTGACATTCTGATTTCATGAAGGGTAAGTAAAATTAACAAAGTGAGATTAAGCTATGCTTCAACATTTCTAAAGTAACATGGGACAAATCTGCACCACTGTGCATCACAACTCCTCTTCACTTAGTCAGGTAGACAACAAACATTTAAGTGCTTCCAATACACCAAGTCCTGAGCTAAGCACTGGGGAGATACCAAGAAAGGCAACAGGGTCACTGCTCTCAAGAAGCTCAGAGTCTCAGGGGGGAAGACATCAAGGTTGTTTATTTCAATTTTCCCATGCAAGTTATCACTGGTAACATACTGTACTCTGCTGTTTGCTGTCACCCCCCAAGTCTCCTAAAAGTGTGATTCTTTTGAGACAATGGTATTCTATAATAAAAACAATAATGGCTCATATTTATATCATACTTGTTTGCAAAGTCTTTTCTATACATTATATAAGCAGGATCAATGGAAAAGTACTTCATAGCCTGACAATGGTAATATGGTAGAATTTTGGTGTGAAAAAGATATGGTTTTGGGAGAAAACAATTTCAGATTACTAAAAAATCTTATTATTCCTCCAAAGGAAACAGGGAACATCCTTTATCATGAGACACAGAGCTGAAGAACAGGATAAAGGTAGAGGAAGGGATTTTCTTTGAAGTCACCCTATACGAGTCCCCTGTAAGAAGCCTCATAGGTGATCCAACCAGCTTCTCCCCATCACAGATGTCAATAACTAATGAAAAAATGGGGAGTGGGGGGAGGGAGAGGACTTCATCTCACTGCTAGAGGCATGGAAATACGGTATTAGAACATGAATGGGGTTCCCTCAATTTGTAAACAGAAAATTATTTCTGCATCATTTTTAATCTGTTAAACTTACAACCAACAAATGAATTTAAAATAAGCGGTGCAGAAGACACTAGGCAGAAGTACGTAGGACATAAATCACTAGGAACTGGGATGCTACAGTGACCATCAGTGACTAATCAGTTTTTGTGTCAAGAGCACCACAGACATAATTCTTGAAATATATTTGTAAAGGTACTGTAGTGTAGTAGAAAGAACTGGATGTGGAGCCAGGAGACCTGTTCAAATACCTTTAAGGTCCCTTGCAGCCTCAGTTTCCTTATGTTTCAAATGCAGATAATGATCTATAACCCATATCCCAAGGCAATCAAATGAGCTAATTTGTGTAGAAATGTAGGCATTACTACTCCATCCAACACCTCACCATTCAGTGACATTAGGAACTGTGGATTCTTTGCTATATGGGAGGAGGTAGAGGAAGGCAGAGTCCAGAGATAGTGGCCTCAAAGGAAATGACAAAAAAGAACTCCATTTCGGGGCTCACTCAGAGGTTTAAAGGACTCAAGCAGCTCAGACAGGGGGCAGGGTACCAACCTGAAAGAATTTTCCTGATTATTCATTTGGAACATGTGACCAAAATTTCTTGAGCTATGTTAAGTGTCAACTCTTAAGAGGCTCACTTCAATTGTAATCTGACAGCAAAAAGTAAAACACATTAGCTGACTCATGTGCTTAATTGTAAACAGACTCTCTAATCAAGAACTCCCAAACATATGGGAATGTTTTTCCTACCAAGTATCTATTTTCCCCACCCATTGACCTGTTCTCCTTTCCATTTTCCTGCCTAAATTACTCCCATTTTTCTCTGTAACTACTGTTCTGCTCTCATTCATCCCCTGTTCCCTGCTCTGTAAATTTCTCCTCTAGGAGTCCAACTTCTGAGGGTGGTTCTTAAATGAGACACACAATCTACTATTAGACACAAACTTTTGAGGTTAGTGAGATCTGGAGCAAGCCTGTATTCCACTAGCAGATTCTTCTAAAAGCCAGGGCCACCTCCCCACCACAGTGAAGGGGGCCAGAAAGCAATGAACATTCTACATACTCTATAAATGTCTGTTGAAGTGAATTAAGTTTTGTAATTTTACCTTTTCCCAGAGTCCTTGCAGACTACGATTCTTGCTACACATTTAACAAGTCACGTGCTTTCTTCTCCATCCCAGGCCCAAGGACTACCACCAGTCTTCTCCTAGTGTTTATAGGATGTTCCTTAAGAACAATCAGCTCTGGGTCAGCTAGGTGGACTTACTGTGACCCTGGGCAAGTCACTTAACCCTGACTGCCTCACCCAAAAAAAAAAAAAGAGCAATTAGTTTGGGGTGGCTAGGTGGTAGAGTGGATAGAGCACCTGCCCTGGAGTCAGAAGGACTTGAGTTCAAATCCAGCCTCAGACACATGATACTTATGAGCTGTATGACCCTGGACAGGTGCCCTACTGCCTCACCAAAAAAAAAAAAAAAACCTCCCTGACATCCCTAGGCCAAATTCTGAAGCACAAATGTTTGAAATTTGTAGAGGGAGAAAGTCCTTGTTTAATTTCTTTTCTCTTTATTTTCTCCCCACAACATGGATAACGTGGAAATATGTCTTGCAAAACTTCATAAGTATAATGGTTATTTATTTCTTGCCTTCTCAATGGTAGAGGAAGGGATTGAGGGAGGAATTTGGAACTACAAATAAAAACAAAAAAAGGAGAAAAAAAGAAAATATAACTGCTTAGGTGTGTAGTAACATAAAAGCACTAATCATGCCTTTAGAAGTTGCCACTGCCTAACTCCCCACCACCCACTCCCATCCTCCACCTTACAGAACAAAATCACCCATCTAGCCGGATTTGACAGGGGGTGCCATTTTAAAATGGCAGATTCTGCCAGCTGAGTAACCTACTTAAAATTGTTGTAGTATTAAAACTTTGCTTTGCTAAAGGAAGGACTCAGTTAAAAACAAGGACAGAGTAAGAAGGAAGTAAATATGAGTCTGGACTCTGCCAATTCACTGACAACCTGAAATTCCAGCCAAACTCTATCTACTTGGCTCCTAACAAAACCTTTTATTGTAAGAGAAGGGACTAATCAAGCCCCTCTAATGTGTAGGCTAACTCACAGAATCCTTAAATTCTTTAAAAGCTCAGCTTTATGGGTCATCTTTCCTGAAACCTTTCCTGACCCCCCCTATTCCTCAAATCACCATATTTAAATGGTGTATCCCTTAAAAGAATATAAGCACCTTGGGAACTGTTTCTTTTTTCCCCTTTATCTTCAACACCTAGTACTCACCTTGCACACAGCAGGGGCATAATCAATGCTTGAACTAAACTGACTACTCCAAAAAAGCTTATTATACACAGATACAGGCAGTAATAATGACAAATGACTCCATGATCTGGGAGTAAGAGTCCTCATTTACATAATGAAGGAGTTGGACAAGATGATCTCTAAGGTCCCTTCTAGTTCTAACATTCTGTAATTTGTACAACATTTTATATTTTCTTAAGTATCTTTCCACCTATTATCTCATTCGATCCTCACAGCTGACCCAAGAGTATATAAAACAGGATTTATTATCTCCATTTTCCATATAAGGAAACAAATCCTAGGGAAGTTATGTTTTCAATCTATCATGTCCACTATGTGCAAGGGGGTGAGCTAGGGGCCCGGGACAGAACCAAAACCAAAGCCAGTCCAGTCCTTAAGAAGCTTACATCCCACTGTTCCAAATCACAACCAAGTCTATGGCAGACCTCAGGCAGAAAGAGCCTCCTAACCTTCCCTGGAGCACTAGGTGGCGCAGTGGATAGAGCACAGGCCCTGAAGTCAGGAAGACTCCTTCCCGAGTTCAAATCTGGCCTCAGGACACTTACTAACTGTGTGACCCTGGACAAGTCACTCAACCCTGGTTGCCTCTGTTTTCTCATCTATCAAATGAGCTGGAGAAGGAAATGGCAAACCACTTCAACATCTTTGCCAAGAAAACCCCAAATGGGGTCAGGCATGACTGAACACAACTGAACATTCCTCCCCCATACCAATGCTGCTTCCTACTAAAAGGCCCATCCATTCTCAGATGAATGTAACCTAAAAATAAAAGCTTGCAAGTTCTTACTCAGCCTGGAACAAAAATCAAAGCAGTCTTTGAACTTCAGCTCTGTAAAAGGAAGGATTTGGACTATGTAACTATAACCACTAAGGTCCAATCTAACTTGTTCAAGTACCATACACGAGTGTTGGATTTTCCTGATTATCCAGTCTGTAAAATTCCTTAGATACCTTGAGATTTTCTGATTGTGTTTCTTACAGATTTCAAATGGACACAAGCTGGAGTTGAGAAAGCTGATTTTTCTCCAACTTGCTGCAGGAAGTACAATGTTGGGAAAAGAATACCGGACTTGAGATTCCAAAGACCGAGAAGCCCTCTGACTGCATGATGGGCTGGGTGATTGCTAGCTCTGTGATATTAGGCCAATCAATGTGCCTCCTCTGGGCTTTACAGATCAGGAGAGGAGGCTGGATGTTTGCTAAGGTGGTTTACAACCTGTGACCCAATGTCTGTGCATCAACACACAGACTGGACTATATGATGTTAATTAATGCAAAAACTGAAACTGCCAATAACGGGGATAGAAAGGCCTGGCACTATCATATTCACTCCCTGGAGGGCTTAGAAAGGAAAAGCAACACTCATCTTTTCAGAGCAGGCACTAAAGAAAGCCCTTAGCCCAACCTAGCACCCTTGTCAAAAGATGTTTGCATAGCTGCATACTACGGGAAGGATCATCTGGCTGAAGTCTTCACAATTAATTGAAATCATAGCCACGGGCATACTGTAATGGTGGTGACATGCTACAAAGTAGAATGCAAAGTGCATGGGACTTCAGAGTCAGGAGGTCAGCATGTAAATCCTTACTCTGCTACTGATCAGCTGTATGCTCTTGAAAAATCACTTCACCATGCCAAGCCTCAGTTTCTTTATCTGTAAAACAGGAAGGATAACATGATCTCAGAGGTTGTTGTAAGAACAATATTTTGAAAACCTTAAAAGTACTATAGAAATCTGTTTTCTAAAACACAGGGCTAACCAGGCTGCTCATCTCCTCAAGAAGCTTCAGAAGTTCCTAATCATCTCAAGGCTCAACAACAGACTTGTCTGCTGGGCATTTAAAGCCCCTTCACATTCTGGCTCCAGCCTACCTTTCCATGTTCCCTATCTTCCACTTTCCCATGTTTGCACAGGCTGATCACCCCACCCCAGTTGTTAATGCTCTCCATCTCCCCAAAAACATAACTTCATCTACACTTTATTTAGCTCCCTAAAAGAACGGGAGGTTCTTGAGGGCAGGGACTCTTTTTGTCTTTACACCCTCAGCGCCTAACAAAGTGTCTGCAACAAAGGACAGTACTTAAATGCTCACTGAAGCAATGTGTATGAAATAGCTATTATTTTTCTTAAAACCAAGAACCAAAATACAAGGTCAACAGAAAGATGCATGGCAGGAGTAAGTCAACTACAACACATTACCAAAAATGACTTGTGTGTGAAATGTATCATACCAGTTACTCACAAAATATCGAAAGAACCAGAGGAAGACCTTCAGGTCACAGAAAGACATGGATAATAAGAAACCAGAGAGGGGTTGTGACCTGGACCAATGCAAAAAGTAACTACATCAATGAGATTCAGGATCCACTTACTAATAAGATAGATAACAATTTCCAAGATGCAGCCACTATGTCAGTCAGCCAGCCTATCTCATCAGAGGGTACAAGGCAGCTGAAGAAAATACAGGCTTTGGTACTACGGCTAGGAAATTTACTTGCAATGGAAGAGATGCAGCAAAGCCCACTGTTATATAGGTCTAGCTAACAACCCATGAGGCCAAAGGCTAGAATTCAGTGGGGAAGTACCATATATGCAGAATAACAAGAAAGCCTTCAACTACCAGGGCCTGTAATTGAGGAACCTTAAAGATCATCTAGTCCAACATACTCATTTTATAGATAAGGAAATGGGGATCAAGAAGGGAGGAAAGAAACAAGCATTTATTAAACACCTACTGTGTGTCAGGCACTGTGCTGAACACTTTACAAATATTATCTCATTTAAGCCTCACAATAACCCTAAAAAGTAGGTGCTATTATTAACCCCATTTTACAGTTTAGGAAACTGAAGTGGACAGAAGTAAAGTGAAGTGACTTGCCCAGCGTCACACAGCAAGTGAGAGTCTGAGGACACATCTTAATTCAGGTCTTCCTGACTCCAGACCTGGTGGCCTAGACCCTACACCCTAGCATCCAGAGAGCGAAAAGGATTTTCCCAAGGTCACAAACCAATGGGACAATGAGTACTAAAACCCAGATCTCTCAGCTCCCAGGTTAGCATTCTGTGCAACACACTGCACTAATCTGCTAAGTAATTCTGGGCAAATCCCTTTTCCTCTGAGTCTTGGTTTCCCCAAGTTCAAGATGAGGGGTGTGGACTAGATTAGATGGTCCCCAATGTGCCTTCCAGTTCCTTTTCTACTTAACTCTTTTGAGGGAAAAAAGGAATCCATTTCTCTGAGTCAGGATTTTGACAAAGCTAGAACTGTGTTTCTCATATGGGTTAACCAACCATTTTTGAGAGTTTTCATTAGTGTGCACGTCCCATTAGCTAACGAGGAAGAAATGGTCATGCAGACTTGGCCACTGCCATCAGATAACCTGGCTTGAAGTTAACCATCACCATCCCTATCATCGACCTGCTGTTGTCCTTATTTCAGATTTTATGTTGAGGATAATTATGAAATGCTTAGCCTAGAAATTAATATTGTGAGCACTATGTTCTACTCTGAATCTAAATATAGCCTTTCACATTGAAAGCCCTGCTAAATCCCCTGGATGGAGCCAACCCATCCAGCTCCCAGTAATTTACTATCTGTACGTACCTGCCACTCTTTAGTGTTCACCTGTTCATGGGGCTGTAAATTACTTGCTGAGGATTTGTGGTAAAATTACTGCCTGTGGTCTGTTTTAGGTGCTTTTATGTGTGATGCTATTGTCTGGGGCTTTGCAAGACTAACCTGGGTAGTGCCAGCCCCAACTCAGCTCAGCAGGAATTCAAAGCAAGCAAGCCCAACAGCCTGGGCCTTTGTAAGTGATATGTATAGAGAGAATTCCTAACTCTAAACTCAGGGAAATACTGTCTAACATCTCTATAGGAATAGAACTTGGAAGGCTTTGGTTGCAAAGAAACACCACAAAACTGGGATATAACTGAAAGCCCAAGACTCAGAACCACACTTCTCTGCATTCAGCCCTCAATCCTATACACATAAATAAATGCCCAAATTTAGTAGTAGCTCAAAGTTCAGAACTACATAACACAACCCCAGTTATCAGTGAAAACTGGCTTCCTAATCTGGATATTTCAGTACAGAGAATGGTTTCCTCCCTGTATCATTTAGGTAGTTGTGTCTTCGAAGACATGACCAGAGAAAAGTGTTACCGCTAAGAAAAAAAAAAAAGGAATCCAATGGATCTTTAAAGTCCTTTCCACCTGTGATAGTCTATTATGTTCTATGATTCCTTCTAGTCCTGACATTCCTTAATTCCATGCTCTTTGCTCTGGTCATTTTAGCCTCCTTTCTTCCTTTGAACCAAGGTCACAGGCTAAGTTACACTACTTTTAAAAGTTAAACATTTACCAAGCTTATTTTCTTTTAGCTCTTCTTTACACTAGAGGGGCCTCCCTCCACTCCTTCCCCCTCTGACCTCCCTTTTCCAAAGACACGGAGCCATAACAGCATTTATAGCAAACTCTTTTCACTTAGAAAAAAATACATTCCACTGAGCACCACAGAAGCAGAACTGGGTTTTCAGGGGAGAAACATGGGAGACAGGCAGATATAAGAGTAACACCAGTGGGAACTGACCAAATGAGTAAATTTTATCTAACTGGAAAAGTATAGAAGTTCTAAAGACTAGAGATCCCACTCAGTGAAAAGCTGAAATAATTGACTGCAAAACAAACTGAATTTCTAGGAAGTGTGGACATACCACTAAGTTCTCAACAACCTTGCAGGCATTTACAATGATTACATATTCCAGAGCTCCAAGGAGCATTAGGGACCATCTGGTCATGGAATCTCAGAAATCATCTACTCCAACCCATACCCAAGTCCTCTCTGCAATTCCCTCATCTGACCATAAGGAAACTGAGTTTCAGAACGAAGCCATTTGCACAAAGTCACATGACTACTAAATGCTAAAGTCAGGCCTGGACCTAGGTCTTCTGAATTCCACTATAGATCTCTTTGGTCCCTATGCCACACTGGCTCTCCAAACTAGTAATTCAATACTCCTTAAGTAAATTTATGATAGCTTTCCCAAGGCAAAGACACACTGGTAATTGAAACTTTCAGACAAGACTCTGAAAAGCCAAATAGAATTTCAATCTTAGACCACACACAACGTGACAGGTGATGCTAAAGGATAAATCCAGGGTAGGACCATAGGCTCTAAATGGAGAAGAGGTGTCCCTCATTTTACACCTGAAGAAACCGGAAGCCCCTTTGTGACTTGCTTAAAGGTCCCACAAGTCAAAAGCAGTAAAGTCAGGATGTCAATCTAGGTCCTCTCAACTCTGAACCCAAGGCTCTTTCCACTAGGGCAATTCAAGAGGGCTTTGTTTTTATTGGTACTTGGCTCTCTCCCTCTCTCCTCCTAAATAAATCTCCATTTTTCTCATTAAAGGGTGAATTAAGGAACTGTAATATGTTTATTGCCTCATCACATTAGGCTCTAAACAATTTATTATTTTAAGAAGAGACTCTGCAAACTAGCTTCCCTGACAACTGTGTTATTCATGAAGTTTGATTCCCATACAGGTGCACTGAGTGCGTATTTTCTACTTCCTTCTAATGGAGGGAGGATGTCCAGTCTCTGGGCTGTCTCAGCCAGGTGGCCACCATTAGTCTCCATGCTGATTCTCAGCTTTTAGAGGAAGAAATGACTAAGAAATTCCATCCTAACTTGGGAGCAAGTGGAGTTATGCTATCATAATGGGATTTAAAGGCAACCATAATAGTAACAACCACAATTATATTTATGTAGCACTTTTTATCCATTATCACATTAAAGCCTCACAAAAGCTCTGTGAGGTGGATACTTTCACCTCCATATCAAATGAGAAATTGAGGCAGGACTTAAGTATCCTCAGTTCAAATGAAAGAACCAGGATTAAAGTGGAAGCCTAATTCCAACACCACACAGTTCCCACATCTCATCTTTTTCTTGCCACCTCCACCTCACATTTCTCCAGTGCTCTAAAGCTGACAAAGAACTTTCCTTAAAATATGATTGTGAGCAGTTCCAGTATTACTGCCCCCGGGTTATAGAGGAGACAGAGGCTAAGAAAGGGGATGCCATGCATCACCTAGTAAGTCCAAATCCAGCCCTTTCTTCACCACTTCAGGCTGCCCCCTAATGGGCAGACTAATAAACAGTCTTGCTCTTGAGACTTTTCAGCTGATTACACTCTCCATCTGTTCAGGTGCCCTTCTGTGTATGAGAGGTTAGAAAGCAACACTGTTCAACTGTACTTAAAAAAAAAGTTAGGGTCAGGGTGAAGAATCAAAAATGGCCCAGATGAAGAAAGAGGGGTTAGGTAGCTATTGTCCTTCTCTCTCAATACGTGGCCAGTCCATGAAGCCTTTAGAAACCAAACCATCCTCAGTTTCCCTATCTGTAAAATAAGGATCATGTTCCTTATACTACCTACCTCACAGGCTGTAAGAAAAGCACTTGGAAAACCTTTACATAACATAGTCATATGTTATTACTATTATTATTACTGTTCCAATGTAGAAGTTGATGAACTAAATACGACAAATCTAAACTATATCTTGGAGTCAAAACTCCCAGGCTGCCTATCACTCATCAACTCTGCAATAGTAAAGAAGTCATTTGCCTCTTTCAAGTCAAATTTGCAAAATGAGAATAGTAATACCTACCCCACAAGGCTGCCAGTAGGACTAAATGGAAACATTCCAAGTAAAGCAGAACATCACATTTGGAGTCTGGTTCATAGCCTGACTTATACAAATTCAAGCAAGTTCCTTCCCTAATGTGGGTGGGCCTCAGATGCCTCCTCTGTAAAGTGAGGGGGCTCGACTGGATGATGTCAAATGTCCCTTCCAGCCCTAAATCCTAAATGCTATAGAAACATTAGCTATCAACATTAACTGTAGGGGTAGCTAGGGGTTGCAGTGGATAGAGCACCAGTTCTGGATTCAGGGGGACCTGAGTTCAAATCCAGCCTCAGACACATAACACTTAGTAGCTGTGTGACCCTGGGCAAGTCACTTAACCACATTGCCTAGCGCACACACCCCCTCCCCCAAACAAACATTAATTGTGAGTGATAAGCATAACTGGAGGCAAACCTGTGTAGCCAGTCAATCAGCATTTATTAAGTGCCTACTATGTGCCAGGCCCTGTGTTAAGTGCTAGGGAATACAAGGAAAGACAAAAGGCAATTCTTGCTCTCAAGGAGCTCAGTCTAATGGGGAAGACAACATGAAACAGCTATGCATGGACAAGATCAATGTGAAATATTCAACAGAGAGAGGTACTAGAATGAAGAGGAATTAGGAAAGGCTTTCTGGAGAAGGAAGCCAAAGAACCCTGGAGGCCTCTATTGTAAGTCCAGCTCTAGATATCAACAACCAACTGGCTGCACGATCTTGGGCTAGTTACTTCCTCTCTGTGGGCCTCGAGTCTCTTCTTCGGTCAAGTGAAGAGCCGAATTAGATGCAACTGATGGTCCCTTTTGTAGGACTGCCTAACTTGACAGGCAGGGGAGGGCAGTACGAAGGAAGAATGCTGGGTTTATCTGGTCAGCAGAGACCTGGTTTCCAGTCCTGGCTCTGACAACTTACTTGTGTGACCTTGGGGAAGTCACTTAATCTCTCTGAGCCTCAGCGTCATCAGCTTCCCCATCTGTAAAACAGAGATGACATAAGACTTGCAGCGTGTACCTCATGGGTTTATTGTGAAGGAAGCACTCTATCAATGTGAGGCTTGTAAAAAAGGTTTTTACTCCTGAATCTGTTATCACTACCGGAGATATGGAGAAAGCTCTTGTGTTGTGGCCTTTGAGTGCTTTAACTCCATCTCTGGACGGGTGAAGGTAAAAAGCAATAGTATTCGCCCAACAGCAGGGGCAAAGTCCAAATGTCAGAATGTTTCCAAAGAGAACAGGGCTCCCTCCCCTCTTGTTTCAGAAGACTGCTCTTTCCAAGCTAACCCATCCCATTTCACCCAAAGGGTTTTAATTCACAGAGAGGCCCATGCAAGTCTCACCAAGACTCAGTCAGGCCAAGAACAGTTCTTTCCAGACAAGGAAAGGAGGCATCTGAGCTGACCAGGCTTTATGGGAAGTGGCCTAATAGGACAGGAAGTGAAACACATCACAAACCACCCTCCCACCTCTGACCCCTGGGAACAAATAGCAAAAATTCTTTTTTAAAATATGTCCATAGATTTTCACTATATTATCATGAAACATGGTTTTATGAGATGAAGAATTTGGGAGAATATGCAGATCCTAAAGAGAAATCAACTTTACATTGTTCATTTTCCCATTAACCAAAGAAACAACAGCTAATGTATCCTAAGTCTGGAACTTGGAACAGATCAGCTTATAACTACAGTGACTGAAATAAAGGTAAACAAAAAAGCCCAGAGTTCACATTTAAAATTGGTCTGAATATAGAAAACATGACTTCTACCTAAAAATAATACCTTCAACCACTGAAACATAAGGAGATCTGTCATTGCAAACCTCAACAAAATAACTTATCCCATTTCTGCAGTGCTTAAAGGTTTATAAAGTGCTTTCTTCACAACCACTCTGTGAAAAATCCCTACCAGATGAGGAAACTGAGGTTTATAACACACCTAATCAAGATCAAACATCATTGAATCCAATCCCTTCTACTCCCAGGATCATTAGATTTAGAGTTGGAAGGTCCTTAGAAAGCATTTGGTAGAATTCTCTCTTTTGAAAAAAGAAAAGATTGAGGCCCAGAGAAGAAAAGAAACTTGCCCAAGGTACCCTAAGTAGTAACTAAGTGGCAAAGTCAATGAGAGACAAACTCAGGGAGATTGTCCTCTAACTCCAGACTCTTTCTACTACACTACACTGGCCTCACTTTTTTCAAGGGCAGATCAGTATGGAATTGAACCCTGATTCAAGGGGAAACTGCTTACACAGTATGTAGTCTTTGCAAACACAAATTAAACGGATGAGGAAACATCTGTATAAACAGGAGTGAAAAACATATTGTCTCTGCTCTCTTTCCAGTGGCAAAGTATAGGAATTGGTTAATAAAAGTAAAAAAAAATAAAATAAAATAAAGGAGATACCAATGCTAATAAGCTTTTTAAAGAATTCAAATACAATCAGATTTTTTCCTCAATTCCTTGGGAGAGATGCCTACATCTAGTCACACCTACTATAATTGCTTTTAACCTCCAATAACTAGGATCTGCCTGGCACAGCCAGAGACAGAATAGAACAACAAATTCCTCTAGCAATCCAGAGAAGTTTCAATTACCTCGGAGGCAGTTTCTCTCCTTCCACAAGCTCTGGTTCCCTGTGAGGTTACCTACTTGTCTCTGGAAAAATGACTGCCAAGAATGTAGAAAGGGCTCTCTTTTAGAAGGTTTCTATCAAATACAATAGGAAGGATTTTTAATGACCACAAGGCCCAGAGTCTAACTAGTTTCCCTCACAAGACTTACTGAATGTCTTTTGGTGCTTACCTAAACTTTTGGGTTCCCGTAGGCTGCTTTGTCTAGGCCTCTCCGATGTCCCCTCCTTCACCTTCACCTTCGACTTCCCTGTACAGTTCTGTACTTCTGCTGGATGGAGTCAGAATAGACCCCACAATTCCAAGGCTCTCATGCTTGCCAGTTAACAACACACTTGCCAGAATCCACAACTGGTTTAAAAATCATAAATACAATCTGGAGAAGTTGGTAACATGCAGATCAGAGACTGCTAAAAGAAAAAAAAATTAGCTTTCAGGTCCGCCCTGGTAAAATCTAATCGTTTCCAAGTGCCTACTTAATTTCCCAGAATGGCCATTTTCTGAAGTAAAGATAAGCATTCCAACTCCCCAAAAGAAGTTTCATAAACAAAACTATCCTGAACTCTTAAAATACCGTTCAGGGCCAAAACCTCTACAGATTAAGAAGAATGAATCTATTTTAGGCAGTTCACTCAACTATCATAACACAGTTTTAGACTTTCTTTTTAATGGGGTAGGGAGAGAGAAGTGAGGAGAGACTGAGAGCATAATGACTAACTTAGAATTCTAATTTGAATCTATAACCTATTCCTACTGACCCTTCCATCCAAATATCCCAAGCCCCCTCCATCTCTTTTCATCCTTGATCCAGCTTTTCAATCCAAAGCTGTATCAACAAACTTTGTCCTTCATGCTTTAAACTCTAGCAGCAGTATTTCAAGGTCACTCTTACTAACGTCTGAGGCCTGCTTCCAGCAACTTTGATGGCACTGCTGTTCCAACCACAGATGCCCCAAATCCAAACCCAAGTCTTTCCTTCTGGCTAAGTCCTTGACATCAAGGAGGGGGAATGTCCCCACCAGCCCCTGACAATTGCACAGGCCTGCTCCTTTCCTCTCCCGGGACTGTCCTTGTTGATGTGTTCAGCTTCTTGAACGTGCTCTACTGCAGGCACGTTCGAGTGACCTTCACTCCTTATTTGCGAATAAGAAAACAAAGAATTCCTTATATTTATCAAGTATTTAGTGAATGTTTGAACAAAGGATGGAAGATTTCATTATCCACAAGAACTAGCTGCTGAGATTTAGCAACTTGCAATGGCTTCACATTCCCTCACAAGCAAAAACTATCAGCATCTGCAAGGACAAGAAGCTGAGCTGCCTAGACTTAACTTTCCAAGTCACTAGAAAAATCATAGAATCTAGTTTGAACCCTATAAAGAACCTGTCCAGAAATGTGTAAAATGGGGGGGGGGAGAAATGTATCAAATTCAGTTAATAGAGATAGAGCAGAAAAGTGTATGTGCCTAGGTGTCAATGTGTATAAAATAGGAAATACTGTCACTCAGATTTACTAGTGTCTATAAGAACTAGGGGCAGGTGGGTTAAAACAAAGTTATGAAAGAATTTCCCTTGGTGAATTCAAGGCCTTCACCATGACACCCTAAAGCATAAGTGCAAATGCTAGTCTTTTTTCTTCCTAATTCAGAACAGCCCCCTTCCCAGTTTGAAAACACTAGGCTTGAGGAGCTCCAAGACAGCTCACCTCTGGCAAAAACCGTCTTTGGACAGTCCCGGCTATTCTATCGTATATGTAAAGCTTCCTCACACTGGAACAAAGGAACATTATTTGGAAAATAGTTCAGTTAATTCTTGAGCCTGGTTTGCCCACGGCACAGAGTTAAGTGTTTGGCGGCTGTTTCCTGGGGAAATGATTAACCTTCCTTCAGGGACCTGCTCTTCTCCACACTGAACTAGAGAAAAAAAAATTTTTTTTAAAGCCACCACCACCCCACCACCCCCAACCCCTCTGAAGGGCATGCGGGAGCTCCACCGAGGAGCCAGGGGCTGGAGGTGCGCCGGGAAGTATGCACGGAATGCAAAGGGGCCATTTTCTGAAACAGTGCAACTTGTCTACACTCGGCGAGGCCAAAACAGTTTCGATCATTTCAAGAGAAAACAAAGAAGGAAACTTACCGGGAACTGCATTAATTTTACATGGAGCTATTTATATCTCTCCTCGGACAGGGAGAAATTAAGTCACTGCTAGCCCTCCCCCCCAAGGACGGGGGAAACAAAAGGCGAAGGAGATGCTGAGCCAGGAGCCGAGAAGGTCCACTCCGGGGCGAGGGCGAACCGCGGCCCCCCCACCAAACTATTCGCCATTTTTCTTTGTCTTTCAGCTGACCCCTGCCTCAGTGAAAAACTCCGAGGCGGCCTCCACTGGAGCCCTGCAGCCTCCTTCCACTTTAACAGGCAAAGGCATTCAATCTATCCTGCTATTTGACACCGAGCCTCGCCTCCGGCCGCCTCATTGGCCGCACCGCCCTCTCGGCGACGGCCGCGCCGCCGCCATTGGCTCCTGCGCGTCATCAGGGCCCTCCTTCGGACACTTCCTGTTTTAAAGTTACCTTGAGAAGCAGAGCAGGGGTCAGTGGCGGGGGCCGTGGCCGAGAGGCCCCCTGCGGCGCCGTGGGGCGGCTGCCCAAGCCGCCCAGCACCGGCACCGCAGCCCCGGGCGCGGCCCCAAGGGGCGACACAGGCCGCGGCAAGGCTTTTCTCGTAATTATACAGCGGGGTGGGTACCTCACCCAGCCCGGGCGCTACTCATTGGCCGTCAGAGTTCCATTTAAAAAAATTGAAGATAATTTCGCTGCCTCTGATTGGCTGCCAAAGACGTCTGTATAACAGCATTACAGTCTCCTCGGGTAGTTTATGCAAGAAGCCAGCAGGCTCACGTCGGAAAGTTACTGTGGGAACTACGCTCGCAGTTTTAACGACAGGCAGGCGAAGGCAAACTCTTGGAGAGGCAGAGAACCCCCGAGAGCCCCCGCAGAAGCACCAGGCTGCCCCCGGGCCGCCGCCCGCCCTCTGCTATGAGGATCTTCCTCCTACTGGGATGCCCAAAGTCGCTCTACAAAGACCTTCTAGGATTCCCAAAGAGGCAGCGCCTAAACTTAACATCTAAAATTAGTACGGAACTGAGACATGTATGCAAGAGCACCACCCAATTCTCTTACCGAATTGGTGGTTAATAATAATAATACTGATAGTCAGCATTTACAAAGCGCTTTAAGATTTATAAAAACCTTTACATGTTAACTCATTTGTCAAAGGATATGAACCAATTTACAAAATAGGACACTGTTGCAAACAAAAAGTATTCAGTATTAGGAGTAATCAAAACAAAATAACCAAAATAATGAAATAAAATAACCAAGATACTAGTCCACATTCATCAAATTGCAGTAATAATTAAAAGTGACAAAATTCAGGGTGGAGGGGACTGCAAAGAAACAGGAACACACTGCTCTAGTAGAATTACGAAGTGATTCAATTTTTTGAGGGCAATTTGGCAGTACACAACAAGAATCATAAAAACAATCATATTCTGACCCAATAATGAAATTAGTGAGAATATATCCTAACAATGTTATAAAGGGGAAAAAACTGTTGAAAAAACACATGTAACATTATTTGTAATCATAAAGCTATAAACAACCTAAATGTCCAACAGCTGAACAGCTTAATACACTGCTATATCAAAGAATCAGATCTGTACCTGAGGCAGAATTCCACATAAAACATACTCAAGTGGTCATCCAACTTTTGCTTAAAGTTCTCCAATAAGGGAAACATGGGCACATTGCACTTTTAAACAGTTTTAATTGTTGGGAAGATTTTTTTAGATCCAACATAAACCTCTCTGCAAAGTCCATCCTGTTGCTCCCGCTGGGGCCAAGCAATTCAATTCAATAGGCCAGAGTACCCACTACACGGCAGGATACAAAAACAAAAAGGAAAAACAGTTCTTAGCTCAAAGAGCGTGCATTCTACAAGCTAAGTAAATACAAAATATACACAGAGCTATTTTGATATTGGTGGAGAGCTAAAGAGGCCTTGTAAGAAGGGAGTGGCTCTGAAGACAGCAAGGGATCCCACAAAAGGAGGGGTGAAAAAAAGTCAGCCTTTACACACTCATGGGGGGCCATCCTCCGCAAAGAAGGCTGGAGGTGGCATGTTAAAGCCTAATCCCTATAATAGCCCTTCAAATACTTGAAGACAACGATCACGATCGCCCTAAACCTGCTCTCTAGATTAAACATTTCTAGTTCTAATCCTTCCAACTCTCCAGCCCCTTTTCCAAGTCCACTGCCCTCCTCTGAGCAGTCTAACTTGTTCATGTGCTTCTGTGTGGTCTCATCAGGTCAGAGAACAGTTCAACTTTGTGCCATGAAGTAGGATAACTACAAGGACCATAAAGAAATCTGGACTTATATGAAGTAATATGAAAAGAAAACAGAACAAGGACAGCCTGTACACTATGATTATATAAAAGGAAAAATATACACACAAACATAGAGATGGACAAAGGACAGAAACAGACAGAGTTAACTAATAAGCTTTTATGAACACAAAGACATTCATTTTTTAAGTGTAAATAATTATAAACAAATGTATTAGTTTTGTTCTTGTTTAAAGCACAAATACAAATTATGGTGACCTTAAGATAGCACCCTTCCACCTAGAAGAATGGCAAATTTTTTTTTTAAATAAAAAGGTCCAAAGGTGGTGGGCCATGAGGAAACAGACACAAGAATACACTGTTGTTAGGACCACAGGGTTGTGTAAATATTTTGGATAGCAATACAGCAGTATACACTAAGAGTCACAAATCTTTTGACTCAGCAATTCCATTGCTAAGATTATCCCTAAAACATTGTTTAAAAGGAAAAAAGGACCCTTCTGTACAAATATATTCAAAACTGCTCTATTTGTTACAATAAATAACAAAGCTTTTATCTAATGACTGAATTATGATGCATTAATATAATCAACACACGTCATAAAACTACAACTATGAAACACATGAAGAAATATGGAAAGACCTATATGAAGTAAACAGAGTAAAATCAGCAGAACCAAAACTGTTTAGAGACTGAGTGTAACTATATTTAATATGAAAAAAGGGAAAGAAAACAGAAAAGGGTCCAGAATTTTAGGATAGGCTTAGAGAGTCACAAAACAAAAGTATTTTGTTTGTTAGTTGTGAATTCATTTGGTTCTGCCTTGTTAAATATGGATGGGTGTGTGTGTGTGTGTGTGTGTGTGTGTGTGTGTGTGTAAGAATTTTTTTTCACATGTTTTTGTCTTTTGTTGGCAGTTACTGAGTTTATGGGCAGCTATGTGGTTCAGTGGATAAAGTGCTGGGCCTGAAATCAGAATGACTCATCTTCCTGAGTTCAAATCTGGCCTCAGACATTTACTATCTATGTGACCCTGGACAAGTCACTTAACTCTGCATCAGTTTCCTCATCTGTAAAATACGATAGAGAAGGAAACAGGAAAACACTCTAGTATCTTTGCCAAGAAAACCTAAATGAGGTCACAGAGATTCAGACACTGAACAACAATATTGTTTATAAATTTTTTCAAAAGCTACATACATGCATAATCTTTCTTAAGGATCTGCCCTTATAACTATGAAAGACTTATAAATTGTAGACCAGCATCATGACAAAGGACTTTATATACTCTGAAATACTACCACTAAACTATCAGAGTAGGAATGCTGAAATAATAATACGGTATAGTGGGGAAAGGCACTGGGTTTATTTGGAGTCAAAAGACCTGGGTCTGAGTCCTGGCTTCATCAGTTCCGAGTTACAAGACCTTGACAAACTGCCTTAGCTCACTAAGCTTCACCATCCTCATCTGTAAAATAGGGACTGTCATGTAAAATATGGATTGAATTAGGTGATATATAAGATCTTCTCTAGCTTGGTCATTCCATGATCCCTTGTAGGAGGGCCAAAAAAGGAAGACAATTCAAGGGGAAGCGGCTTCAATAAATGACAGCACTGCTTTAAATCCACAGAACAGAACTAAAATCAGACAAATGCACTATATTCTGATGGAATATATGCGTGTGTATGTATAGACATACATATATAAAAGAGAGTAATATAAAATGTTATGGATTAGTTCTTAAGAAAGCCTACTTAAGACTTGGATTCAGTAAATCCCTTTCTTTCCCCCCCAAACTTGCAAATGTAAGCAGTAAGACTGGTATTCAGGAATGGTTTGATAGATCTACTTCTTTGGCTTGCTTTGAGTGTTCTGAAGCTCAGTGGATAGAGCAGTGTTCTGGAGATGAGATGCGTTTACTCATTTCAGGTATAGTTCCATGCAGTCTATAACTACTCAAGCTTTAGAAGGTGTAAGTATAACCCTTGGCATCTGGGTGATGCCTCAACATGGTTAAAGTTAAGATACTTAAAACCTCTTTCAGCTATACATAATTCCACTAATGCTTCTATAGAACCCTGACATCCCTCTAATAACAGAGGCCATTAATAACTACCCAAGCTGCCTCCAATCAAACTATAAGTGGAATGTCCTGAGAGTAAAAATGACTGCAGCTGTTTGGCCATCCCAGTGGTGATGGGTAAAAGGATAAATGCAAACTACATCTGCTATTCACTTGGCTGAAAAAGACCAAATCCCTTAGAAAGTTCCCTCATTTGTCCTCAGAAAATACCATCCTTAGTCTCTTAAGAGATTGAGGCAGGCATTGAAATAAAGGCCAGCTGATATAGCTGGTCACTTTGCCAGCTACTCTTTTGCGTGGTTTCCTTTCCCATACCCCCTAAAAACACTTTATTTTGTTTGTTTTTTTAGGCAATTGGGGTTAAGTGACTTGCCCAGGGTCACACAGCTAGTAAATGTCAACTGTTTGGTCTGAGGCCAAATGCGGTCCTCCTGACAAGGGCCCGTGCTCCATCCACTGCGCCACCTAGCTGCCCCTTTCCAAAAAAACACTTTAACACAATGAAAACCAAATTTTTACTGTCCTGTTAAACACTTACTCTGTTATTAAGCATGGAATATAATACTACTTTCTGTAAGAAATGAAGAAATGGCTTTAGAAAAACCCAGGAAAAGTCATTCCCCAACTGATAAATGGTAAAAGGATATGAACAGGCAGTTTTCAGAAGAAATTACAGCTATCCATAGTTGTATGAAAAAATGTTCTAAATCACTATTGATTAGATAAATGCAAATCAAAACGACTCTGAGGTACCACATCACACCTATCAGATTGGCTAACATGACAAAACAGGAAAATGATAAATACTGGAGAAAATGTGGGAAAATTGACACAATAATGCACTGTTGGTGGAGTTGTGAATTGATCCAACCATTCTGGAGAGCAATTTGGAACTACCCCCAAAGGCCTATAAAACTGTGTATACCTTTTGACCCAGCGATACCACTTCTAGGGCTGTATCCCAAAAACGGAAAAAAGACCCACATGTACAAAAATACTTATACCAGCTCTTTTTGTGGTGGCCAAAAATTGGAAATTGAGGGGATGCCCATCAGTGGG